AAGATTTCCCTCAAGAAAAAGACACATGACTGGAATGCCTGAAGTTTTGGCTATAGAAATGAATGCACACAGAGACATGCACCCACACCCCAGAAGCAGAAAATAGCCACACCCAATGTCTGTGTTCCATGATAAAAGCACAGATACACTCTTCTGATGCTATGAGAGAACTGACTGGGGGCTGCATTTGACTGTGCTGTTTTTTCAAAAACTTTTTGCAAGAAATAACATTATCAACATACAGACAAAAACAGTGCCTTTCAGGAAAATATTTACAGTAATACAGCGGTACCTTGGTTCTCAAACACCTTGGTACTCAAACAACTTGGAACCCAAACACTGCAAACCCGAAAGTAAGTGTTCCAGTTTGCGAACTTTTTTCGAAAGTCAAACGTGCTCTGTTTTGAGTCTTACACTTCTCATTTGAGTGCCACCCTTGTGTTTTGAGTGCTACGCTGAGGTCTGTCTGTTTTTGCTATTTATTTTGTGTTTTTGTTTTTGAGTCTCTTTTCGTTTGTTTTTGTGACTGTGTGGATTGATGGATTGTGTGACTGCAGTACATTGTTTGTTGCTTTCATTTTGTGGATCGATGGTCTTGTTAGATACTAAAATCATGTTGAATTGCTGTTTTAGGGGTTGTTTTTGAAAGTCTGGAACAGATTAATCCATATTGCATTACTTTCTATGACAAAGTGTGCCTTGGTTTTGGAACGCTTTGGTTTTGGAACGCTTTGGTTTTGGAACGCTTTGGTTTTGGAACGCTTTGGTTTTAGAACGCTTTGGTTTTGGAACAGATTAAGTTTGACAACCAAGGTACCACTGTACAAGCAATGTGTCATGGTGCAATGCAAGAAAGATAATCTAATTCTTCTCAACATACACGGTTACAACAGTGGGGTGGACTACTGTATGATGTAAACCACCCTGGGATCTTTGGATGAAGAGTGGTATATAAATGTAATGATTAATGATAACAACAAGAACAAAAACACCACTTGACATTAGAATGCTTTGAGCGGTCTGCTACCTTTCTTTTCTTTCTCATCTAATTAAATCATCCCAGAGTCTTCCATGTATATGCAGTGTGCGTGTTCAGTTTCTGGCACATTTGTGTATTCAATACATTTATACCAGATTGCATGAAAATGGTCTAGATTTCTAATTGCTCTGGCTGCATATAACAGAACAAGAAAGTTTCTCAGCCACTTGCACTGTCATCTGCAGTGTCCAGGCTGACCGATGGGGATGGAGACACTCCTTCAGGTTTACAGTGCCAGACCCATTAAGGGTTTGAACCTGCACCAATTTGGACAGGTCTGAAGATGTTGTTCCCCAGTTTGGTGGGGGTAGTTCCAACCTGCTCCAATTTGGATGCCTCTCAAGAAATGGTTGCCAAACTTGGCACAAATGTTCCTGAAGAAGAGGTGATGGACTTCATCTATGTTTGGATGCTGGGAATCATTTTGAATCAAGATGGCGGACCAAATTTCCCCTAATTAAACATTAGCTCTCTCTTCGCAGATTGATTTGGAGCTGGGTCAGGTCAGAGTCCTGAGTTGGTGTGTATAAGCATATACAACAGGCACATGGCCCTAAAACTCATAAATTACACTATATATATATATATATATATATATATATATATATATATATATATCCAACAACATACTTTTTTGTTTCTTCAAATTCTCAGCACTGAAAAATTCCTGCTAATAAAAAGCTAAAACCACAGTAATTGTAAGCTATTAACAGTAATTATGCCTGAATGCAATAGTTAACAGATCGTGCTAAGTGTAAGCGTGTGGTTTCCTGGATATGAGATTATGGTCACTTTGCTCCTTCTCATTCATTCTGCAGCAGTACTAATCTAAGACATTGTTTGGTTTAACTGTAGCTCATGGTTTAGCTTTCCCCAGACTAATAATAATAATAATAATAATAATAATAATAATAATATATTATTTATACCCCGGCCATCTGACTGAGTTTTCCCAGCCACTCTGGGCGGCTCCCAACAGAATATTAAAAACACAGTACAGCATCAAACATTAAAAACTTCCCTAAACAGGGCTGCCTTCAGATGTCTTCTAAAAGTCTGGTATTTATTGTTCTCTTTGACATCTGATGGGAGGGTGTTCCACAGGGTGGGTGCCACTACCGAGAAGGCCCTCTGCTGGTTCCCTGTAACCTCACTTCTCGCAATGAAGGAACCGCCAGAAGGCCCTCGGCGCTGGACCTCAGTGTCTGGGTAGAGCGATGGAGGTGGAGATGCTCCTTCAGGTATACTGGGCCAAGGTCATTTAGGGCTTTAAAAGTCAGCACCAACACTTTGAATTGTGCTCGGAAACGTACTGGGTGACAATGTAGGTCTTTCAAGACCAGTGTTATGTGGTCTTGGCGCCCGCTCCCAGTCACCAGTCTAGCTGCCGCATTCTGGATTAGTTGTAACCAAGGTTCAGCTTATGGTTTATGGCTTGTGGTTTGTCTGGTAGAGCTAAACCATGACCCCGAGTTCAGACAACAAAGTCAGGACATGCCTTGGCGCTGTGTGGCAGTGGAAAGGCCAGGGAGCAGCCACGCAGCTGCAACATTCTCTCCTAGAGCCTGTGGGTTCACAGTAAACAATGGTTTGGCAAGTATGCAGCGCAAACCAGACTACTGTCTTAAAGTCCAAAACACAATGTATTAGCAGCACATAGACCAGGGCTATGTGCATAAATGCCATGATTTCAGAGCTATAGTCATAACTACCTTACTCACTGCCATGGACTTACAGAATGAAGACAATCAACAGGGGAGATCATATCTTGAGAGACACTTTCACGAGATAATAAACTTGATTCCTAGTTTGCAAATCCAGATTAAAGGCAATCCTGGATAACACTAGCTATGATTAGCATCAGTGCAGATGTTATGCTACACCATGATATCCTGAAAAGGAGGGGAGATTTTCATGGGATGGAGAATGCAAGAGATGGGGTTATGCCTACAATATTGCAGCAGTGATGCCAATTTTCATATTTTATAATCCAACTGCATACCTTCTTCACTCCATTCAATCCAGTATTCTTATACAATATGTATACACAAATAGTAACCGGATAATAACAAGAGTCTCTCTATTTTATAACATTTTTAAAAGGTTTATAAAGGTGCTTTTTAAAAAATATATATACTAAATTTGTTACCGTATTTTTCGCTCTATAACACGCACCCGACCATAACACGCACGTAGTTTTTAGAGGAGGAAAATCCGTAGGCATGCCACCCGTAGGCATTCCCTCCATAACACGCACAGACATTTCCCCTTACTTTCTAGGAGGAAAAAAGTGAGTGTTATGGTGCAAAAAATACGGTAATTTCTTGAACAGCAACATTCTGCCCATTCTACTCTTGGGACTTTTGTTACAACCTGGCAGTGGAATGAGCCAAAAATTCTGACACCTGGAATTTCCTGGGCTGTCTCCAAAGGGAAGGTGGGGGAAAATCTTCCAACAAACCCAGTGCTTTGCCAGAGGTCATCTTTTCACTGTGTTGGGAGTGGCATTTATGGCAAATAACCCAGACTGCAGTGAAACATTCAGCTATTCAGATTCAGCAGCACCTTCAGAAAGCAATGCTATCACAAACTGTTACAATGTCATCTGTCCTTATAGAACATATTGAGCTTTAGAAACAAGTTTACAATAGCTACTATGTCTGTAATAAAAAGAAAAGAAGAGGAGACTATTCATACTAATACGTAAGCTAAATCATTTCTCTCCCTCTTCTAGCCATTAAGTCCAATTCTCCTTAGAAAAATGAGTCATAATGCAAAGTTGTTCTAGGTTCCCAAAATTAAAGCAAGACAAAGAAAACTCAGCAGCAAAAAAATATCTGAGGAGGTTGTTTTTATTTGTTTATCTTGCAGGAAGGAACATGTAAAAACAGGACTACACTTGTAATAAGGTTCTTTCACTGATGTTTCCCTTCATATACAGAGGATGTGGGAGTTTCTTCACGTGAATTCCTTAAGTCTTTTTATTTAACTTTTGCAAGGAAATAAACACAATTTTCTTCAAAACCTGGGATGCATCGCATTAACGGAAAATGTATAATACAATTGCAACGGTAATTTTCATGCATACTGGATGCAGGTGCAAACACAGATATATGTATACCTGATTCAATACTGCTAAGTCCCTTTGAAATCTCCTTCTTAACACGTGTCCAAAGTGTCAGGAGATCATGTTCAAGGGCTAGCAAATACCTGGGGAAAACAGGTAGCTCACATTGTCTGGCAACTCAGGAATAGCCTGCTAGCTCAGCAATTCGTTGCCCAGAGTAAGTGCTTATGAACACTTACCCTTCCTCTGTAATTTCTAGAAACACTGAAAACCCAAAGTGCTGTTTGCTCCGATTCAGCTTTAAGAATCGGGTTTTGTGAGGAAAACTCCAGAGGAAAAAAAGGGGTGGGGACTCAGGGATGGAGCTTTGAAGTGTGGACCTGTGTTTGCAAACAGCGGAGCAAAACGTATGTGTGGGTAAGCCCTACGGGAAAGCAGTATACTGCTTTTTTTTTGCTATATAAGACTCGCATTTTCCCTCCTAAAAAGTAAGGGGAAATGTGTGTGCGTCTTATGGAGCGAATGCAGGCTGTGCAGCTATCCCAGAAGCCAGAACAGCAAGAGGGATCGCTGCTTTCGCTGCGCAGTGATCCCTCTTGCTGTTCTGGCTTCTGGGATTCAGAATATTTTTTTTCTTGTTTTCCTGCTCCAAAAACTAGGTGCGTCTTATGGTCTGGTACGTCTTATAGAGCGAAAAATACGGTATCTTGCAGCCTGCAAGAACATGGTACAGAATGCCAGTTATGCATTACCAAAAGAGAGGAAATGAGTCAACACAGAGGAGGGCAAAAGAGGGCACATACTTGCATAAAAAGTCCATGTGTTGATTTTTATGTATAGACACTTATTTGGAAATAACTACTAAAACTTAAATAGAAATACAGGGCATCTCACCATAGTAGCGAAGACTGTGTTTCTGTTCAGTCTGCTGTCCGGGTGCTAACTGTTGATGAGTAGCTTCAAGGCCCCTCCTGCTCTCCCTTCTTAGGATTCTTTATCTTTAATTCAGACTTGGACCAGACACCTCTTCAGACAGTGAACACCTTTAAACAGAAGACTAACCTATGATATCCCTTCAAAAGGAGGAGTGTCGTCTGTAAAGTAGGACACCTGGCTATGCAGCAGGGATGGGTAAATGTGTCCATTTCAGTTTTGCTTCATTACTCTTTCCCCCCCAGTTTTTAGTTAACTGTATTTCCACATTAGTTTGCATTTTTTAAAAAAGATGGTCTCATGTAAATTCATTAGCATTTTCTTGCAGATTTCTCCAAATACAATTGTACCTCGGAAGTTGAACAGAATCCATTCTGGAAGTCCGTTTGACTTCCAAAACGTTCAGAAACCAAGGTGCAGCTTCTGATTGGCTGCAGGAAACTCCTGCAGCCAATTGGAAGCCACAAAACCCGTGTCAGACGTTTGGGTTCCAAAGAACATTCACAAACCGCAACACTCACTTCCAGGGTTTGCAGCGTTTGGGAGCCAAAACGTTTGACTCACAAGGCATTTGACTTCTGAGGTACGACTGTACAAACATTTATATGCAATATTGTCTAACATACACACTTTCCCCAAGCAATTTCCCCCAAAACAATGCATTTTGTATGTTTTTCCCCACTTATATGTGCACACTGTACTCTGGTGTGTGCATATTCATACACACTGGTCGGCTGGCACACTTCACTGCAAAATTTGAAGAAGGATGGCTGTGTTTCAGTTCTCGTACTGTTATGGAAAGTGCAAATAAAGTAAATTTGCCTGTAAATGTGAACTGAATTGAATTTCTCCTGCATCCCTACTTGTCAGGATGGGGTCTGTTTTTGTTATCAACTGATGACCACCAAGAGCAAGAGGAAGTGGGAATGTGTGCATTGAGTTCTGTCTGGTGCTGTCTTTACTTCCATCCCCTGGTCATCAACCTCAATGGCACAGGAATCGAGGGCTGAAGGACAATGCTCCCAGTTCCAATCCCACAGTAGAGAGCAACTTGTTACCAAACCTTCATCCAAATAAATATCCATAAACAGGTACAATCTATTTAACATGTAGTAACATAGATGGGTCCCAAAAGCACTTTTATTCATGAGCTGGGAGTGAGATAAAAGCCATATGGAGGAGGAACCGAGTCTCTAGAAGTAGGGATAAACATAAGGAAATACCGTATTTTTCACTCTATAGGACGCACCGGAACATAGGAGGGGGAGAACAGGGGGGAAAAATTCTCCCCCTCTCTGCTCAGCACCCCTTCAGTGAAGCGGCAGGAGAAACGGAGCCCCTTCCATTTCTCCTCCCGCTTCGCTGAAGGGGCGCTGCGCAGCTCTCCCTCTCTGCTGATGCCAGGAGAGTCTTGCTCTCCTGGCTTCAGCAAAAGGAACCCGAAGCCTTTGGAGCGCAGCGCGAGGTCCCACTGTGCTCCAAAGGCTTCCGGCGGCTATCCCTGAAGCCTGGAGAGCGAGAGGGGTCGGTGCGCACCGACCCCTCTCGCTCTCCAGGCTTCAGTGAAAGCAACGTGAAGCCTCCGGAGCGCGGAGGGAGTGCTCCCTCTGCGCTTCGGAGGCTGCGCGTTGCTATCGCTGAAGCCAAGAAGCCTGCATTTGCTCCATAGGACGCACACACATTTCCCCTTAATTTTTGGAGGGAGAAAAGTGCGTCCTATAGAGCGAAAAATATGGTAACCTTCCATTTCCCCTACAATTTTATCTGTTTTCTTGAGCAGAATATTATTTTCCCTGACCATTTATTGAAGCAGGCTGTGGAACTATGGAAGCATACCTCCTTGTTTAACTATAGGTTGTCTACAAGTTAACAGCTAGTAAGAATACTGATGTCTCATTCAGAAGCAGTCTACAGGGTAAGCTGAAATCTTGTTGGGGGAAATTCAAGCATTTTCATTATTTGGGCTTTAAGAAACACATACACTGTGTCAAACATATCAACATGTTATAGTTAACCGAGAAGGTAAAACTCTGCTCAAGCCATATTCCCAGACAAGTTCATTTTCTTATGTGGGTGGATTGCCCCCACTCCATGTATGGAAAAATATCCAATCCTTTAAAGACCCAACTGCAGTCTGAAATAGTACAACCTTGCACAGAGTTATCAACTAACAAGAAGCATAAACCATGAACCAGGGTGCATAAAAATCAATGGTTTAATTTTTTAAAAAAATAAATAAATCAGATTTTATTGATTTAAATCAGATTTTTTTTAAATTTTAAATTGGATATTTAAAATAAAATGCTTTTGGAGGAAAAAACCTTTCTAAAGATAGTTTTCTATTTAAGTTACATTATAGTCCAAAGGCTATTCATCAGAAAATGATTTAAGTTTTTCCTGTGTGCTAAAACTCTGTCTAAGGTTTTTCCCCAAAAAAAACCAACCGTTTAAACACATCAGTTAGCAAACATGGATACATATGCTATAATATTATTGTTTTAGTTAAACATTGTTTGAATTGTTATTAAGGAAATGATTATTTTTCACCTTCCAATAAAGTACAGCAGAAAAGAAAATATAAACAGCTAACTTATTAAACCTCACAATAATTTCATCATTATCTGTCTATGTATTTCTAATAGTATAACCAAATCAGTAATTCTTGATATAACTGTAAAAACTACTCTGAAAATTTATTATTCCAAAAATGAAACCTTCATCTGGTTGTCAATATTAAGATGATACCAGCAAGAATTAGTCTTTCTGTTAAATTTTTCTTTTATTTAAATCAAGTCTTACTGACTAGTGATTTAAATTGTCATTTAAATCACGATTTAAATCAATTTGATTTTAATCAAATCCACCCTGCCATGAACAAATAAAATGCTGAAAAGTTACCAATATATATTGATATCAGGCCTATCAAGTAGCATCTCTCCATCCATACAACATTTGTTCTATCTACAAATCCATATGAGAGTTTTAAGTTTTGAGCGACAGAAGGAAATGAAACTAATCAGCATTAAATAAACTCAGTTAGAAATCGCGATGGCTGCAAAGGTGATAGAAACTATCATCACAGTGTAGGCTACTATTGGCTTTGTGAAATTAATTGTGAACTTGGGGTAGGGCAATACAAATTAAATTCTTTACTGTTCTAAATAGGACTGACAGTTAATTTCAGCTATGAAGAATGCAAATGAGAATAATTTGGAAATCACCATGTTCAAAACAGAATCAGAGTTTTGCTCAGAGGTTCTGCTTCCCTGCACCTTACGATATGCAAAATGGCACAGATGCTTGGACAACCATATTCTGTGAGGCACAGCGAAGTGTGTGCTTTACAAAGTGCATTCTAGTTCAATGACCTCACGTGTTGCATGTTAATTCACAGTGGGCACAAATATCATCTTCAGATGCAAGATCTGGTACCCAGGATGTTGTACACATGCCAGTTTACAGTGTTTCAATGACAATCTCAGGGATGTCCAATGGATAGATCATGATCTATTCATAGATCACTGGGCCATCACAGGTAGATTACTGGGCCGTTGCAGGTAGATCGCAGGATGACAGAAAGTGATCACTCCCCCCCCCAAGAAATATAAAAAATTGTGGCCTCCCCCCCCCAAAAAAGCTCAACATTTTGGGCAGTTAGCCACCATCTTGGGTAGATCATTGCCAGTTTTTTTAAAATAGTGGGAGTAGATTGCAGTCAAGGGACACGGGTGGCACTGTGGGTTAAACCACAGAGCCTAGGACTTGCCGATCAGAAGGTCAGCGGTTTGAAAGCACGTCAAAGTGCAACTAGATAAATAGGTACCGCTCCAGCGGGAAGGTAAACGGCGTTTCGTGCGCTGCTCTGGTTCACCAGAAGCGGCTTAGTCATGCTGGCCACGTGACCCAGAAGCTGTATGCCGGCTCCTTCGGCCAGTAAAACAAGATGAGCGCCGCAACCCCAGAGTTGGTCACGACTGGACCTAATGGTCAGGGGTCACTTTACCTTTACCTTTTAGATCACAGTCACTTGGGAGTTGGACATGCCTGATATATCTAAAATGAATATCTCACTGTAGCTTTTGCATTTATAGAAGACAAACATTAAAAGCCATGTTTCATCAATCATACACACTTTTGCTAAATTAAGAAGATGAGCTCTTCAAAGGCAAACATGCACTTGACTGGTAATGCCAATGTGGATAAACTACATCTTTTGCAAGTGCTTAGCAGCATCCAATACACCATGTCCACCAAAAAGCAAACTATGCATGGTATAGAATCACAGAATCATGGATTTGGAAGGGGCCCCAAAGGACATCTAGTCCAACCCAATGCTATGCATCTCTACTAGATCATACATGAGAGATAACTACCTAACCTCTGCTTATAAACCTTCAAGGAAGGAGAGTCCACCACCTCTCATGGGAGTCTGTTCCACTGTCGAATAAGCTCTTCCTGTCAAAAGGTTCTTCTTGATGTTTCGTTGGAATCTCCTTTCTTCTACCTTGAAGCAATTGGCTTGGGTCCTACCCTCCAGAGCAGGAGAAAACAAGCTTGCTCCACTCTCCATGTGACAGCCCTTTAGTTACTTCAAGATGGTTATCATATTACCTCTCTGTCTTCTCTTTACCAGGCTAAACATTCCCAGTTCCCTCAATCATTCCTCATAAGGCTTGGTTTCCAGACCCTTGATCATCTTGGTCGCCCTCCTTGGCACACATTCCAGCTTGTTAATACCCTCCCTTCTTAAACTGTGGTGCCCACACAGTACTCCAGGTGTGCTCTGATCAAGGCAGAATAGAGTGTGACTATTACTTCCCTCGACCTGGAAACTATACTTCTGTTGATGCAGCCTAGAATAGCGTTAGTCCCCGTCCCCCCCCCCCCGCACTCTTGATGACTCATATTAAGCTTGTGGTCTACTAAGACCTCTAGGTGCTTTTCACATGTACTATGGCAAGCCAGATATCCCCATCTTATATTGATGCAGCTGGTTCTTCCTGCCTAACTGCAGAACCTTACATTTGTTCCTAATGAAATTCATTTTCTTAGTATGGACCCAGTTCTCCAATCTATTAAGATCATCTTGAATTTCAATTCTGTCTTATGC